TGCAATGATACCGGGACATCAAGCATACCTGACTCTTTCCCTCCCTGCAGACAGGAATTGTCGCTCAATGCCGGACATCGCTGTTGCTTATTGTGCAGTCTATGGAGAGTCACAGGATCTCATCTGAGAGTATGCCCTTTGCTGTTCCATCCAATGCAGATGCATTAAGGAGTTATGCAGGATCAGTTATAAATCTAGTAAAATCCTATTTTTTATATTTGTATACTTATCCTGCATTACTTTATAAGAAGTGGCCCATCCATCGCAGAGTTGCCTGCCCCTTGATGCCTTCAGATGCGCTGTTTTAGCAGTAATGTGCTGGTCAGTGATGTCACTACGTCCGGGTCACATGGGAGCTGTGTGATAGGGTTAGCCACACAACCAGTTGAAACAACTTCTTCAGCAAGTAAAAATGCCTTAAGGAGTCATGCAGGACAAGTATACAAATATTAAAAATGTCTAGGATTTTACTAGAATTTAATTTTTATCCAATCTCACACTATGCAATTTTTCTCGCATCTTCAATCCTATGAAGAAACAAGAGTTTCCAGCCTCTAAAGAACAATTCGTCCGAACACATCACAGCATCACCATGGTCACCATCCAAACAAAAGGGTCATGCATTGTAATCCCGTGCATAGCGACCTACATGACCTGATCATGTGATTACCCCGCCAACACCTCTCTCCCCCAGCCACGACATTTTCCTAACATAACCTGCTTCATGTAGCGCTATGAGCATTAACATGGTGAATGGAAATCAGGCGCATTATAAATGGACTTATTATTATTACTTTTGTTAATATGACTCACAAATGAATTTGCTAAATTTTACAAATATTTCTTAATGGGGAAGCAGAGGCATCACAGATTAACAGGACATGAAATTTGTCTTCAGTAGACCCACATTGGCAATATGTATGATATTTGAATACTCTGTCATAGCGACTGATTTACGACACCCATTGTCTGAAGAACATTTAATTGCAAAGGCTCATTACCCTGGAGCCATGACATCTATATGCCTTGAAACATTTAATTGCTGTTATTTATAAGATGCTAATCCTAATTGTTAATCCCCATTTTTGTGTACATCGACCGTCTGTCATCCTGAACAGGATGTGCAAGTATGTCACTGATGTCACTATATAAGCCTTGGTCCAGAATGATTGAAAGGAGAAAAGAGAGAAGGGGTTTGACTCTCTTACCAAGCAGACCTCTCTCCCACAGCCCAGAGTGTGTACCGACTCTCTGTGGCACCCTCAGTTATTATCTAAGTATATTGTAAATTGTTAATTGTTCTTGTAAAAAAAATTGTGATTAGTCTCCTGTGACTCTGGCTCTTTGCTGACTAATTCCCCAAGAAAACCAGCACGTCATTTGGAAGGTATTGTTCACCCAGAACAGTTCCATGATAACTCTATGTAGTCTATAGTCATTGTGCTTCCTAATATCTTGTATTTCTAAACAATGTAAAGAGATTCTTAACTTACAAATCTCTAGTAGAAGGTATTTATCATTCAGTGTTGGTATTTCTCAGGTTCAAAAACATTAAATGGAAGCGCAGTGTGAAAGAAAATGGGATTATGTCATACTTTCTGACCAACCTTGAACGTTAAAGGGGCACTGATCTAAAGCAATTCCCCAGGACTGGTTTTTGCCTCTGTTATTGTTTTCTCCCGTGAGTACCCGGATGATATAGCAGAAACCTAGACTAGTTCGTAACCTGTGCTGCGCAATTCGTAAGCGCATTTGTCACTTTTATTGATAGTATAAGGGCGTATGGTCACATTGATCAACAAAATGAAAAACAGTTTTGGAAATAATAAGGAAATGTAGGTATCTTTCTGGGTAGCATCGGTAATGGTGACAAAGTTTTGATAAGTCACTTGCTTGGTACCGGTAATTGTGGGATTTTCGTTTACACTATTTTGACTTGCAACACAAAGTAAATATTTCTCCTGAGCTTTGCTTATTTTATCGTGTTTATATTTTTACAGTCAAAGTGTGCAAAATTTTCACTTAGGAAATTTATTAAAGGCCTGAATATTCAGTTATTTTACAAGGTGACTGAAAAATATGTCCATCTGTATTATTATGACAACGAATTCCAAACATTTTTATGTTTAATATCACCAAGAGACTGAAAATGTTATGATGAAAAGTACATTTCTATATTGTTTGGCATCTAATCCTACATAATAATTTATTGTGATGTTTTTAGGCCCTATTGATCGTCTTAATCAATTTTGGTCAATCTGTTAAAGAAATGGACAGATTTTTCAGTCAAAATGAAATGTTTACACATTTTATCAATTGCCTGAGCGAATCACATTTTACAAATTGACTGTAATATACAAAGAAAAAGACTTGTGAAAACAAAGTCTATCGCACATCGAAGAATTTCCCAACCAAGACAGAGAGGAACAAGAATGAATCTGTCCAATGCTACTGCAAATGAAGGAAAACAAAATGCAAATATCATAATTACAACCTACCAAATTTATGTGTATAATTTTAGGCAGCTTCCTTGTATCCGTGAATATACACACACAAAGGAACAATATCCCAAACGTCTGCAGCTGTACAAAGAAACCTATTCGATGACACATGTCTCTGTAGCAATCAAATATTTTAATATATATATATCGTTTCGGGATATTATAACCCGTGTTCGTTTCTCAACTGATCACTTGGATTGTTTTTAGGTGTTTCACATAGGTGTCAAGTCTCAAAGGTTGGCTGAGAAAGCCCACGTGACAACTATTTTCATAACATCCACGGTTCCTAAAAAATTCCATTGAGTTAGATAACAATTAGGAGATAAACATACTGTGTTTTCAATGTAGAGCTAGGTTACCTGTAGATTTAACCCCGCTAAATTGAATTTGGAACCGAACGCGCAGCGTGGGGTTCAAATGTTAAATTAGGGCGGTTAAATCTACAGGTAACCTAGCTCTACATTGAAAACCAGTATGTTTATCTCCATTCTACCATGACTAAATAAAATGCGAACTCTTTGGGGTTAGTAAATATACTGAGTGAAGCGGCATGGGTTGAGTTCAGTGTTTTGAGTCGGCTATCGATCTGAATTACGGAATCACCAAACAAAATATGGTGCCGTATATACTCAAGCAGTTTGTTTACACCGTAATACTTCACTCGAACATATGACAGGCATTGAAAGAAAATAAGCACAGCAACTTGGTAAGCTAACATGAGGTGGGCATCCCTAAAGAAAACAAAGCAAGCTTTGCAAGGCTTTCGCTCTACACCGCACGTCACCATTATGACGTCATATCACTCATTGTGATGCAAAAGATTTGACATCACAGTCGTATATAGAAAAGCGCCAAAATTCAAAGCTCTCTGTTGTCTCCAAAACGTAAATACATTCCCTTTGTTGATTTCTGTCGTGTTTTTCTGCACGAAATGTATTGCCACACATCCTTTGAATATTGTAGTAACCGCATCTGTGCATTTTGTAACCTGTAATTGTAGATATAATTATTTAAATATGCCTACCGACAATGACTGAAAGTAGTACTATTCTATGAATATTAGCTTCCGCGGTGATGCGGCCGTCAAACCAGCTGTTTCAATCAGAGGGGGTTTATTGTGATTTAATAGCCTCTGATTGACCAATCAGAATCGAGTAAATTCCAAATTCATGGTAGAATGAGCAATTAATCAACGTATTATCGGTTAACCCTTTGAACAAAGTATGTTGTTTTTACATCGGCACTTCACGCAAGGATATGAGTGTATTCCCTTTGTTTTAGTAAACCTAGACATGTAAACACTCACTTTTGACATATCCACCATGCAAGATAACAGTGATTAATCAATCAATGTATTTTCTGTTAATCCTTTGATGACTACAAACGATCTGCTAATTTACAAAAAAAGTAAATCAACCGATCATTCATTTCTTGCTGGGCTGCCACGTGCATATTACATAACACACATTTCACCTCACTTCAAACCTGAATTTTGATTGAATAATTACCCCAGACACAATAAATGCCAAATGGGAAGCTTCCTCAGGTATTCGGAGTGGTGCTACCACTAATTATACCTGTAATAAATTCATTAACTGAGCATCAAGTGAATGACGACAAATACACAAGTGTAGGGTTATACCAGAAAACGTGGATGACAACAAGGGAGTAGTAATCGTATTATCGACGCAGTCGGAAATCCGAAAATGCTTTCACTGCATTGATACTATTTTTAAACTATAACAATCAGGGGTATTTCCAAATGACGACAACCGTTCTTTTTGTCTGTTTGTTTAGGCTGAAGAAATTAATTAACATGCGCCCTTTGTCGAAATCTTTATAGATCACGGTTAACCAATCAGTGTTCAAAAATGGGTAAAACAAATATTGCCTCCAAGTTTATTCAGCTGTCCTTGCACACGGTAGCCCAGTCTCTGGTCACGCTCAGTTGCGTTGCGTATCATCCGGGGAACTCACAGGGAAAAAACAGTAACAAAGGCAACAACCAGTCCCGAGGAATTGCTTTAGATCAGTGCCCCTTTTATATATATGAGTCTTCCGAGAAGTAAGTTCTAAGCAACTGTTACAGAATGAGAAACAATATAATTACATGTTGTTTTGTCGAAGAAAGACTAACATTTTGTCTTTAAGTAATCAAACCACAGCTGAGGAGCTATAACATCAGTTCCCCCAAGATTTGGAAATACAATGCTTGAGTAGTGCTGCAGAATTATTTGCAGTCTGCTTTCTTAGCCACTTCCTTAATATCTTTCAATGGTAATTCTAATGTTTTACCTGACAACATCGTTTAAAGCCATGTTTTGCATTCAAGTAAATCTGTAGATTTGAATAACACTTGTATTTTCACATCAATCAATAATCATTACCTAACTTAACATTGTGGGAGGCTCCATGCTTTGGAGCATTTGTGAACATATGTTGTTGGGACTGTTTTTGTCTTGTTTTGGTCAGCTTTCTAGTTGCTTCGACTGTTTTCAGGGCACTGACTTTCGTGTGAGAGTGACGAACTCTGTGAACATGTCTGAGGCAAAATTTGAGTGTGACTGGAAACTCCAGAGATGCTTGATGTTTAACAGCCAGGTACAACATAAGGTGGGTCATGTGTCATTATGACATTGTGATACTTGTACAGCTTATACTTGTACATATATATAGCAAACTTGTTTATTCAGCAAGCCATCGACTTGATGTTATCACTTCCTCCCAAGAACCGTACGTATAGGAATATGCAAATAATCATTATCAATGTAACGTTGTTAACTAACAAGTGCAGCCAGTACAAGATTAAATGAAATTTTGAATAAAATTAATAAAATATATTACAAACATAAGTCCAGATATAGAATGAACAGGTTTTTATAACCAAATAGTATAATAATGGAATTATGTTGCGGTCTTCAGTTTGGATTTGTTGACTGGTATTTCCGGTGCTCAAGGTGATCAGCGGGTAATGGTTTTTGGGGCTATGGGGGAAAAAACATTGTGTCAGTGTAAAACGTGAGTTTATTATAAATTATCACTAAACATGAAAATTGCTTGTCTTGTTTTAGAATTTATTCAGGCCTTAAGAATATTTAAGGATGTGTACAGTGAGCATAACGATGCTAAGAGGAAACAACTTGATGGCAATGAGCAAACTGTCATTGAATTGTCTACTATTTATGGTGGTACAACACATTATGACTATCATAAACTATTCGCATCAAGATTGGCAGCCTATGCTGAGAAAGGAGTACACATTAGATGGGATATGCGTGACCAACGCCTGTACAGTTTGTGTTCTTCAGGACTGCGCTCTCGAGCATGTGCCGTGTGTCACAGTATCACTCATGGAACGGATCTTTGTCCCAACATTGTCGAAAATTCCTATCAGAAACCACCCATAAAGCAGGAATGGATATCATATACGACAGGAAAGCAGGTGACGGCATGGACTCCAGGGGCAGACCACTTGTTAAGAAGTATGTGAAAGAAGTGTGCAACAATTTCAATGATTTGGGGTGTTCACGCAATCCATGCCCCTTCCTCCACATGTGTTTGCCTTGTAATTCCGACAAACATGGCCACAAGAACTGCAAGCCTGAGAACAAGAAGAAGAATCGAAAATGACTGTCTGATAATGTTCTGTCATGTTCATTATCCTATGTGACAGTAGATCATGCCATCTCAGTGATCTTACAGCTTGGTAGGGGTACCCAGATGTGCAAAACAGACATTAATGACGCATTTAAGCAAATCCCACTGAACCAAGACTATTGGCCCTATTTCGGTTTCGCTGGGATGAACAGTATTGTTTTTACACCAGACTGGCATTCGGATGTAGATCAAGCCCCAAGATTTTTGACACCTTGTCGCAAGCCTTATGCTGGATACTCGAGCACAACTACGGGATCCAACATGTACCACACCTGCTCGACGACTTCCTGGCTCTTGACCCACCTGGATACGATGCTTATCATACTATGCAGACCATCCTGAAGACGGTCCACAATATTCCACTAGCAGCTCATGAGACTCAAGGACCTGTTACTTTCGTTGAATATTTGGGCATCATATTAGATTCTGACACTATGACTGCACGCCTTCCAGAGAACAAAGTGACAAGAATTGCCGAGATATTAACATTCTCCAGACGAGGAAAGGGTACCAAGAGAGAACTGTTGTCGCTATTGGGACATTTGAATTACGCCTGCCATGTTATTCTGCCTGGGAGGTCATTTGTGCCAACTTCATCCACCTCTCCACAACAGTGACTAAGTTGCACCAAGACGTCAGCGTATCAAAGGAATGACGGACTGATCTCACCATGTGGAACAAGTTCCTCACAAGCTGGAATGGCATTTCTCTTTTCCATGACAAGGTAGTGACTGACCCCCAAGACTTTAATCTATTCACTGATGCGGCAATCACAGTTGGACATGGAGGCTACTTTGAAGGTGCTTGGTTTGCTGAGATGTGGCCTGAGAGTGTAATTGACTTTTTAGCCACTGGCACATCTATGGCATTCATGGAACTTTATCCCATAGTTATGTCTGCTCTCCTCTGGTGTCATCTTTGGTCTAGAAAGCGAGTTATGTTCAATTGTGATAACCAGGCTACAGTGTTCATTATTAAGAAGGGCAGGTCCAAGTGCACCAAGATCATGTCTCTCATGCGCACACTTCATCATTTTGTTGTCTTGGCTAAACATGTACCGGGTGTTCATAATGACAGATCCCTTTCTCGGTTGCAGTTCAAGAGATTTCGAGCCCTGGTTCCACAAGCAGACGTATCACCACACCAGTGCCCACCCAGCTCTCGGGTCATGTGGACTTAAACTACTACCTCAATCACCTGTGGTCAGCAGCCATCAGCCAAGGTACCAGGTCTGCCTACAATACTGGCTTCAACTGCTACATGAACTTCCTCCTGAAGTTTAGTCTTTTCGGCACCCTATCAAGATTCATGTTGCCCCCAGTTAACGAGAGCTATCTTCAGTTTTTCATCACTCATTGTGTTGGAGTGCTGCAACTGAAACATGATACAGTCAAAACATATCTAGCAGGCATACGCTTCACTTACCTGCAAGCTGGCGTGACAACTCTGTTCGACAAGGCCAGTTCTGGAGCCTTAAATAGACTACAAGCCTTCACTGCACACAACTTCTTCCAGGAAACGCCTTCCTATCACCTATCCTTTATTAAGTAAGATCGTGTACCAACTCCTTGCAGGTATTTTCGGACCTTATGATGACTTTGTGATGACTTTGTGATGGAATGCATGTGCGTGACCGCCTTCTACTGCTTTGTTCGATGTGGAGAATTCACCTGCTCTACTAAGTTTGATCACCGAGTTCATATTAGTATGAGTGACATTGAATTTGATCATTATAAGAGAAAATGTGTCCTAATGCTGAAAGCGTCTAAGACCGATCCCTTCCGGAAAGCAGTACCCAATTCCCTGCAACAATAATGGTATTTGTCCATATACTTGCTTGAAGCGACTTCATCACATTCGCACACAGTGCCGACCCAATCCTTCAGATCCATTGTCAAATGCAACCTTGCACCCATCAGCAGAGCTTCTTTCCTGTACTGGCTGAGCATATAGTCTTAGCTAGGGCAGGTCTTGATTCCAAAGAGTACTCTGGACATTCTTTCAGAATTGGTGCAGCTACTACGTCTGACAGTGTGCGCATGAATGACCACCTCATCAAGACGATGGGCCGTTGGAGTTCAGATTCTTTTACTCGATATATACGGACTCTGGAAGCCACTCTGAGCTAAGCCCAGAGATCTTTGTGTAGAATGTAGACTTGTCGTTAATACGGACTCTTGTGTTACTGTGTTACTTTATGCAATCTGTTGATAGCCTACTGTCCCTTAAAGTATCGGAGTCAGCATTCCACTAATTTTAAGGACTATGTGTCCCACCTTTATGTTTGTGTACCATGGTGACTATCTTGTGTTTATACTTTGACTGTAGTCTACTCAATGCTGGACATTATGTTTATAACGCTGTGATGATCAGGTGCGGGCTTAGACCCATATCCCTCGTGCAGACTTTACAGGACTGTGTACTTTGAGACCCTTCATCACACCTTGGACTGTGCTAGATTTACCCTGGTGTGTTTAGACCCATTTGGTCATTTTTCTCTCAATCATCAGCGTATAACTGTGGATTACATCCATGGGACTCCCTAAATTCTTCTCTTATTTGTGTTTGAACATGTGTTCTTTCTACTTATTTTTTGTCCATTCCATGTGTAGATTTTAATCTTTTCCAATTCCATCCTTTGGGTCTCTCGGTTGCACATAACCTCATTTGGGCTTCACAAGTCATTCCATGCCCTGCATACTGTATAGGAATGGCTTGTGGCCCCCAAAGTACCTTTCTCCCAAATTTACAGTCCATGGCCGGCACGGTCTCAGGACTTGCATGTTCATTACCCGCAGGGTAACTAGCATTCATTCAATCAGGTCAGCACGACCCTTACCTCTTCATTCATACCCACAGGGTATGTCTTTTAATGTAGCAGCCAAGTAGCCCCTAATATATTGCCAATGTTATTAATAGATATTGTCATGAATCCTATTGTTTTGTTGTTACCAGGGTATGAAACTCCCAAAAATTTCAGCCAGACCACAGGACTGGCTAGCTGAAATACTTGCCAGCCCTGACCAAAACCTGCCTGCCCACTATAATCATATGTTTCTCAGGATAAGCTAATGGGATTTCTTTTTGGTTACATTTTATCATTCATCTTCACATGTGAATTAATGATTATCATCGGGAAATATTTAGAATATAGTCACATATGAAATATAACCCGACCGTCGGGCAGGGGGATTTGAAAATCTGGCAGCCCGAGTTGAAATCAACCCGTCTTGGACGGTCGGGCAGGCAGGTATTTCGAACACTGTTGTTACTGCACAAATACATGTTATATGAAAAATAGATTACTGTGTGTATTTTCTCTTTATCTGGAAATAGCAATCAGCTGTATACAAATATGATTCAAATCTACCGGTGAATCATTTAAAGTAATCAAGTGAATCAAGTGAATCAAGTGAATCAAGTAAATGTAACTTCTAAGAATTTTGATGCAATGATGGGATGAATAGTATCTGAAACTATTATTTATCAGGAATAATATATTTCAACATCGAGGTACTTTAGTTGCAGCTTTTCCTATATATATATATACCGTATATGACCGCGGATAAGCCGACCCCGTAGATAAGCCGAGGTGTTAACTTGACCATACATCTGCAGCTGTACAAAGAAACTTGTCCAATGTCACGTGTCTTTATAACAACCAAATATTTTAAAATATATATACCGTTTCGGGATATTATGACCCCTGTACGTTTCTCAACTGGCCACGTAAGTTTGTTTCAGGTGTTCACATAGGTGTAATCCTCCCCAGAGACATTCACAGATATGCTGCACACATCACACCTATTTTGGCAACACACCTTTAGTGGGCTACCCATTGGGGTAGTGGAGTCAGATTCACTGGTATCTGTCGCTTGTCTGGTGTTCAGACTTACAGCCCACTGAAGGCATAACTCCAAATTGTCATTACGTACCACACCCTAAGTCAGCTTACCCATCAGGGTAATTTAGTAGTGTTTTATTTTGTCAATAAACAGTGTGCTACAGGCTCAACGAGAATCCCCAATTAATCCAAAACAATAACTATCACTACATTTCATCAACAACCAGACCTGTTTGTCACGGGTGGAACGAGCATTCATTGAAACAGCCATCTGCATAATGCTACCCCTGCGTCACAGGGCCATATGACACAGTTGAACCAATCAACTCAACTCGAAAGGGTGCACGGGAATCACCAACGTTGAGACGCCCAACGCTAACACCGTATTCGTGCGTGCGTGATTCCCGTGCACCCTTTCGAGTTAGGTGTGATGGTGATAGCTAAATAGACAGATTTTTTATTCATGCACCGATTGTCTTTAAATGTAATATCCAGTTATGTATGACTGTTTAATAATCTCATACCAACTTTGACTGGAGTAGGTCCAATAGTTTTTCAGATATTGTAGTAAACGTCGGTACCTTAAATTATCTTCTAGACTATAGTCCTTATGATACCAAACTATTGGGCAGTTTGGCGAGCACTACAGGACTAGAGCCAATTTCTAATGCTGCACAATTTAAAAAAATTTAAGACCCCCAATTAATTATTTTCATGAGCTGGACTGCGTCAAGGTGGAGTGGCCCCGTACCCCCATCGTCTTTACTACTGAATTATAAATTTAAAATTATAGTGGCATATCTCTACCATGTCATTGTTTTTCAAGTCATGTTAACTCGTCCAAAAGATTTATGGTTTTATGGTTCAGCACTAATTCATGATAATCTTGCAATTTGTATTCATATATATGATCACACAATATTTTGCAGATCAGCACTTTTAAAGGCAGCTCCCCATCTCCAAGTGTGCTGACATCCAGAATGGCTCGCCATATCCTTGCTGAGATGATGGAAATAGGCTGGGACAAGTACCTTTACATTATATATTTTTACTCACTCATTAAGTTAATATGACTGAAAACATTGGATGTAAATAAGTGTTGACTTGAAATTTGTTGAGGATCAAAATTTAATCTAACTGCAGAGTTATGCGTCAGAAATGTTTTCAGTTCACTGTGATAATAGCAACATTACACTTTGATAAAAGAATATTTCAGCCACATTATGAAGTTTCTATTGACCTTCATGTGGGCCAGTGGGTTAGTCTAGTGGTTGAAGTTGGCACTTTATATTACTCGCCGTGAAGATATCACCCGTTTAATAAACATTGTGTTGCGCTTATGTTCTGCGGTAACAAGTTTCACTACCAAATATTGAAAACTCCAAACATCCTGGGGCTTTATTCAATGTGTGTAGAGATGTTAGGTAACTGAGAAGATGTTATGCTAACTCGATGACCCCAGCAACCTTGCTGGGCTGACGTCACATGGCATTGTTTTGCCGGTAGGTATGGGAGTTACAATATCTTTAGCACTAAGATAGCCTTGTAGAACGGACCCCTTAATTCTTTAGGTGGTCCATTGTATTTTATTCAGTTGATAAGTATCAACTTTTGACATGTTTGAAGTATTATTCTGTTAAACTCGCTTTTCAGATACCAGAACTATTCACTCGATTCATGAGCTTGTTAAGTATTCTATATGTTTATAATGGCAGACATTACAATGTGTAACCTGCAAGTGGGACCAGAATTTAAAATAGGCACCATGATGGCTGCTCATTGTACAACCTAGGTAACTTTTTCGGGGAAGGTGTATTATTATTATTATAATAATAATAATAATAATAATAATAATAATAATAATAAAACAACATGATGGTGTAGCATGATCATTTTATTACCGTCTTCGCCATGCTTGTGGTTTTGACACAGAGGTCTAACCATGGTACGACCCGGAATATGTAGAGGGTGTCATGGAAAATAATAAATACAAAATTCTTTGGAAAATACCTGTATACAGCCTCAGACGTATCCAGGTCAAGAAACCTGATCTTGTCCTTTTTGATAAATCCATTGAAATCATTTATACCATTGAATTTTCTGTCCCCTTTGACACTTATGTGATTGACAAGATTGAGGAAAAACATGGCAAATATACTGACCTCGCTTTCGATATGTCAGGCTTGCATCCCAAGTACCAAGTTGCCAGACTCCCCATTGTTCTCGGTGCCTTAGGTTTGGTAATGCAGAAGGCTGCAGTGTTGGGGAGTCTTCACATTCTCCGAAAAGTCCTCGGTAGTTTTGACTAGGCAGCGCTTCCTGGGAGAAGTCCCATTTGCTTGGTTATATGCTTTGGTTTCTGACATTTGCAAAAAAACCATCTGAGACTGCTCCCCTTGCCTCCTCCCGGGATCATCAAGTCACTCCTGCAGGCCATGACATCAACTTTCCAACAATGTATTTCGTTTGTACAAAAAGGCCTGTGGCCTACAAGTACTGAATAAAGTGAAGAAGAAACTCAATGACTTCCTCTTCAAAGTCAAGCCTCCCCTGCCTCCTCCCAGCAAAGATACCCTGGGGTTTTATTTGCTTATTTTCCTGGTTCCGAAGAAAGACAGCAACAAACTCTGCATGATCTTCAATGTGAACACATTCAACATGCTGTACCTCGAAGACCCACCACATTGGTCAGACTAGACCTGCAAGACGTGCATCTTCATGTACTCATCTATCGGGACTACCGCCATTACCTCCGGTTCATTTTCAAGCTGGCTCACCCTTGTGTCTGTAGGGGATAAGAGTGTGGTCGGTCTTGTAGAACTGGAGACTGAATAGGTCCCAATTCAAAGCTACTGGTAGTTTGTGTAACGATGTACTACGTGAAAACGACTGCCCCATGGTCAAGTGGTAGAGCATCTGCCTGGCGAAAGGAAGGTCGGGGATTCAATTCCCGTCCATGTCATTCAAAAAGACGTCCAAAGATGGTACTTGTTGTTACCCTATCTGGCGCTCAGTATTAAGAGGCTAAAACAAGGACTGGCTCGAAGTCAGTATACTGTGTCTGAGTGGGGTATTCATGTTAAGCTGTGGGCAAACACTATTTAATAGGCATAAGAACGGACTTATCAGTACAAGCAGCCACACACACACATTTGCATGCACATCGCTATATAAGTGTAATAATCTTAAACGCGACGTTAAACCCCATTTTACCTCACCTCACTTCACCTACATGAAAACATGTGACACATGTTATTCCCAATTTATGATGTTATGTCCGACTAGCGTAAAGGAGTCACATCACCTGTAACGGTGTTTTTACCCACTCACAAGTTCCTGTCTTTAATTAAAGTGTAATAACTAGGTGTTTGTTTCACTGTTGAGCACCAGCTTCCTCATGCACAACTCACGGTTGTAGTCTCATACTAGCTAGTAGTTTCATCTGCCGCACTGTTTCAACCGTGGGATAAATGCATCGTGTGAAGTAGGATAAGTTTAAACATTTGTAAACTTTTACATTAGTAGGAAATCACATAACTTAGGGTAATTCACATAGGGTAAGGAACATCGGGTGGCTATTTTTAGAACCTGCAAGAAGCATATAAGGTGTTCATGATGGATTCCTGCTGGGTGACTCTGGATACCCCTGTAGACGCTACCTGATGACTCCCTACCACAACACTGGCAATATCAGACACAGAGACAGATGCAATTATTTCCTCTGGAGAACACGTGTTGTCATTGAACAAACTTCTTCTCTTTTAAAGATACGCTTTCCATGTCTCTCTACTTGATTGATAACAAATCCAACCAGAGCATGTAAATATGTTGTTTCCTGTGCAATTTTACATAATATAGGAATTTCGAAACAGGATATGGTGATTTAATCATGGAAATCAGTTCACAGTACAGGGTCCAGATCAGCAACAGCAGCAGTTTCAGAGAAATGATGGCTTTGGCATATTGCCCAGAGCTACTTCAGTAAGTAAAAAAACAAAACAAACAAAAAGCTCCCTTGCACGTGGGCACTAATTAAGTTTGATGACATGGCATTTGAGTTAAATTATTCAATGAATGATGGATCAAGTTGTCTAATTTGCAGCATTGTTATTTTCTTTTCAACTGAGCCAGTTATGATTGCTGTTTTACTAGTATCCTGCTCTCCTAACTTCTCTGAAGCTCCTCCCTAAATATTTCTTCCTCTGTTGTTTGCTTCTTTGGTGGTTGCACATCAATAGGTGTTGTGCTTCTGATGCTGGACAATCGTCACGATATGGCTGAAATATTGCCGATGTGACGTAAAGCATAAACTCACTCACTCAGTCTGATCCTGGACAAGAAATCTTCCACCCCCAAGGCTGTCCATGTCCACAGGCACTACTGCTTGTAATGCTCCGCCTGTGTCCACTGTACTGAAATATGGCAAGAAGACATGGTTATTACATGTATATGCTTTTATTATGAGGAGAGATACAGATTATCAACGTAGAAATTGTGAAAATATCCGTGAAATACCAAATGTTAACCTGCCATGCTCATAAAATGAACTTGACTGACATTGTAATATTCAAAGAGAAGTCATTATTTACCGGTAAATGCGGGTAAATATTTTTAAAGCTTGTGTATTAAAGAGGCTGTACAAAAGGTTGATATCACATATTAAAAAAATACGACTCGTACAACATTACACTCTGCCCCTAATGGTTTATTCTCCCTGCAGTGTATTATTGTATGATAAACAACGACCACAGGTCGTTATTTTTTAAAATGTGAAGTATATGGGATGTAGTTGTGTGTAAAATTGAATAATAATAACCTTTCTGCTTAATATTCTAATATTTCTTTTTCATTTCCCCAATGGACCGATTATACCTCAAACGAAGTATTATAAAACATGACATATATGCACTTGGATGGTCACAATAGTAGCTGTAGGATGTGAACGATATTGGTATTCTTATGATTATCATTTGCTCAGAGTTGATTTGTTTGATTTCTACCGGTAAGCTCATCAATGCTGTCATCAAGTGTAATACAGTGAGTATCTGAGTAACAATTTCTGAATATTAGATATACAGATTAACTGCCTGTGTCTTTATGGTTCAGTATACCCCCGAATTAACATTACTGTCATGATATTCATTTATGTATATTGTATTCTGATACTATGTATATTCGGATATTGATGGTGGATAATCATATTCAAATAATAAGGAATAACTTCATCAACGCACGCAAGTGGTGCTAAACACATTTATAGAACATGTAATGTATTGTAAACCTCTGTTCATTATACAATCAAGTCTTGGCAAACAAAATATCTTAAACACACAAATTATTGTGAATGAACTTTCATATAAACATAGGTAATAATAACCACAACACTATATATATATATATATATATATATATATATATATATATATATATATATATATATTTTGACCTCAAAAGCTGAACTAAAGAACATGTTAGACAAATGACATATTGAATATGACTAATAACATATGGACTATATACAATTATAGCTAAATAAAGGCATGGTTAGTAATATTGTAATGGGTTCATGATGGTATGTATTTACATGTCTGTATACATTTTGTTATTGATAATCTCTGAATTTATAGTGTCACATGCTTCTAACACAGTGAAGAAAGTTTGATGTACAACTAGAACGTGAGTTTGGAAAGGTTGCTTCAAGACAGTCTTCAAGATTTACCAGAAAGGAATGGTACGTTCGGAGAAGTATTGACTGATATGCTTTTACATGAAAATTTGTTTTCAGTTTTGAATCCACGCCAAAGAGAAAGGGTCGGCCAAATCGTCCCAATAAGGGATACATTATTGATGGTAGTTGGGTGTGTCAGATGCCAATATGAGGGACAGAGGGACAGTTTGATGACAGGGATAATAACACATATTTCTAAATACAGCTCACTGGCGTGGAAACGTTTCTTAATTAATCTTAAAATGAATACAAGAAGTACAAGCAATGTACAGATACCACATAATAACGATGCTAAGGGG